ACGACGATTTTATAATCCTCGAAAAATATGTTAAGGTTAAATAATTAGGTATGTAGCTCAGATACGTTGTGTCGTATACAGAAACATTTTCGTTTCCCGTTAGGCTTTTTAAACCTCCCAAAATTATTACACTTATTATGTTTCCTGTATACTGTTTAATAAATATTTATACCATCGAGGTGATTATGTGAATGAATTTTCAGTAAAGTATATACAAAATAGAAATAACTTCCTATTTAATCGGGGTGAGACATATCCTCCCACCCTAGAAATAAATAAATATTATCTACTTACCTTTACCTACCGTTAGCTGCACGATTATCGGTAGTTTTATGAACGTTTACGTATATAAATATACAATGGGCTAACTGTAAATGTGGGTTTAAAACCTATCCCATAAATCGTTTAGTCTTTATTGATGACGGCCTATAATATGTATTATATTATAATAACCTAACCTAGGGAAACTTTATATTTGTTACAATTTAATGAACATAAGTGAAATATTTTACTTGAGAACGTGTGAAAAATTTTGAATACCTAGTTATTAAATTTAATTAATGAGATATTTGTTATACTCGTATTTTTCTATACTAGAATTTAGAAACGATTGAGAATGTGGAATGCAGTATAAAATTATTTATTAAGACAATAAAATATTTAAAAGTATTATTCTTTTTTAAATACATAGCTTAGATATATATTTTGCTAGAACTGGTAATTATTAAAGCCATAATGCAATTTATAAATCATTTTAAATGTATCATAAAATTTTTAAAATATAAATATTTACAATAGATACTTAATTAAGTACTTTAAAATTAAGCAATAAAATACGTATGTTTAATTTCTTTCGTTTCCTACTATAATTTTAGAATGAAGTAGTTTTGAAGGAAATTATAAAAAAACAACTTATTTAATTTTTTATTCATAATATGCATTAATTTAATTTATCATAATATATTAACAATTAGGTTTTAGTTTAATAAACAAATATAGATAATTATTTCAAGGTAGTTCATAGTAAAACGATACAAATATACTTTATTTTGAGTGAAATAAATAGCTAAATAAATATCTTGACTAAAGTTGATGTCTTATCACATTCAATTTAAGAGCAATTACTGTCTATTTTAAAGTATACTTCCGAGTGAAGAGTGTCGCATTTCAAACGTAAAGCATACTAATCAAATTTTATTAACAATGTTTGACATTTTGTTAATGTAAATAAAATTTAAATATTTGATATGGTTTTAAGTTTTAATTAAGTTATGGTTTTCTGATAATTACTAAATATCTATGAGATAATAAATTTAAAGTGGGGTAATGACTTAAAATGTGTGGTACTGTGGTAGTTTATTATTTTCTCATCAATGACAAAAGCACTATAGGTATAAAATAATTGAAAGTTTGCTTAGGAAAATGTTAAATATTTATTTATGATAAAATTAATGAACAAACGGTACATTTTTATTTAATGTTTTGGTACATATAGTAGGTACCTATATAATAACGTCCATACTAATATACTATAGTATTATATCTACCTAATAATAGGTACTATTTGTTAAAATAATCATCTTTTTTATAGCCATAATATTTTGAATTGAAATATTTGCTCAATTTTGTGATACTACATCATATGGTATTGACATGTTATGTAAAATATTTATTAAATTGATAAAACTAAGTTTCAATTTTTCTTTTAGTTTTATGTAACTCATATTGCGCGTGCTGTTACAAATTTTGCATTAAAAATAATGAAAAAAAGTAAAAAAAAAAATAATTTCGTAAAAAATACTATAGTAGTAAGTATTTTGGTAAATGTTATAAGTTATAATATTCATATGCACTATAGTCTTTATATGTTTTACGGATATAACTCAGTTTTATCATAAAAGTTCATACACTATTTAACGTTAGTTAATGTTATTGTGGTAAAATAATCTGGGAAAACTTTAATGATGAATTCGTGATTTAAATTATTTTATTATTCAGGAATTAAGTCTAAACAGTTTTGGTGATTAATTCATTGAGATGTAATTTATTATAATTATAAATGTGTTAATTAAAAAAATTTTATGCAAGATTGATTTTTTGGGATAATTATAACTACAATAACCATTATAAAAAGTTTAAATAACGTAGAGATCAGAATAAAATTAAAATCTTAGGGAATCTCAAAATTTTTTTTAAAAATTAATATTAATTAATAACCTTCTATATCATTATTCAAATCAGTATTGAAAGAAATATTACAAATTTATGAAATATTTATTAACACGGAGTTTTCTATAGATCAACACATAGACATTCATGCATATGTGAATAGCTACAACTTACAAATCGTACTTCCATTATTGTAGAACTGTAGACCATATAATTATACTGTGAGGAAAATGAATTTTGTTCTTCTTTCCTATTGTATACTTTATTATGACGTTATTATAACGTTTGATGTTTAAAAATAAAAATATTTATTATTTCCTATAAGACTAAACAAATTATAATTGTTTTTATTTTTTAATTATTCTTAGTTTTTTTTGTTGTTATGAACACCATGTAAATTTCTTAAAAAAAAAAATGATTATTGTTTTTAAATTTATCAAAATAAATAATAGGTATGATAATTTATAATTATCAAAATATAACAAAATATTGGAAAATAAGCTACCAGCTGCAATACTATACTATTTATTTCATATAAATTAATTATTTTCTTACTTAACAATAATTATGAGTCAAAATCAAACTTTGAGGCTATATGGGTCTTATAGTTTTTTCCAATGTTGCTGTTAAGCCCAAATTTGGTTCTTGAAAAAATATTTTACATTGCCATGAGAACTACATTTTTTAAAAGCTCAATCCCTGTATTTAAAAGTTCTAAACCTTAATGCTGATGTTCTACCTATAGCTGTTTATCGAATATTTTGAAGCTTTAATTTTGGATCAAGGTCTAGTATGTGATTAGGCAACCAATGTTACGATTTTACGATGGATAATGTATAATAGTATTATGTTACGTTGTGTTAAAATGAAATGTTTAAATTCAGAAAATAATTTATGAATTTGAATTTAAAATTATTGTTTTTTTATGTATTGATATTAATAACATTACCTACTATAGGCCATCAGTTTTAACTGCATTAGCATACTGTTTACGATATAAGTTTGGCTTAGATTCAGTTGGGATAGAAATAATATTGTTTATTCATCATATTTTGTTCTTTTCAATTAATATTTTTTGGTCAATAGTTAGACATACTTTATTTTGGTCTGGACATTATTTCGTTTCAATTCTAAGACACGTTTGGGTAAAAACACATTATATGGAATGTTGATAAAAGATGGATTAAATTTCTTAGGGTTGTAGTTATTATCTGATTTTTATTTTTCGTTATGAAAAATATGGGTACAAAAGATGTCAAATCATGATGTGCATTATGTTTTTGAAAAAAGTTATGCAGTACCTTTAGGTAGGTAGTTGTATTCAACGCTGGCTTCGGAGAAAAAAAAAGAGAATTGAGTTGTGTTTTTGATGGACAAAATTGTTTATATTATCAATAATTAAACAAAAATAATTAAATATATTATAGACATAGGTATCTGTAATTTAATTTTTTTATTGAGAAAGTATAGTACTTAGTACTTACACATATTTCACAAGTTAGAAATAATAATTTATAATACAAATTATGTATATTGTGCCAAATTAATGTATTCGTTTTTGAATTACAGCAAAATAAGAAAATGGCTATATGAGAAATTTATAGTGAATATCCAATGTTGTAAAAATTACACCTTCAAAAGGTTCATAAAAACTTAATTTGACTTTCGGGTAGAATTTTTTTTTTTGATAAAGGTAGATGAACTTCTAAGGAATCTTGCATTACATTTTCAAATTTTAAATATGAGTAGAAAAATTTTATGAATTTCTATCTTAATATAATTTGCAAATGTTCGTGATTTTTACGTATTTTGTCAAAATATTAAATTCAGACGCCCATAAAAATTAATGTGGACAATTTGTCTCAATTTGTTTTTTAATTTTAACTAACACCAATTTATGAGGAACCTTGTATTATATTTTCAAGGTTAACATTTTTTATAGACATTAATAAAAAAAAACTAATAATAATCGAAAATTTCATATGCCTATAAAAGTTCAACATACGTTTAAATATTTTGAAAATTGTATGTTGTATAGAAAATGCTAACACAAACACCCAGTAATAATTTCATGTATCTGTGGTAATTTTTTTTCGTGTTACATTCAAAAACTGGTTTTAAGTAAAAATTTCTGTTCTTCCTTAATATTTTGTTTGTTTTTCCTGTCGTTTTAAAAACCATTGGGAATTTTAAATTCTGAACTCCCGAATGCACTAACTAGATTCACTTTTCTACCAGAAAAAGTCACTGTTGAAGAAAATCAAAGCACTTTTATAATTTATTGCCCTAAACGGCCTAAACAGTGATGAAAGACACAAAAATTAAATTAAATAAATAAAAAAATAAAAAAACAAACATCATTGTAAAATCAATACATTCATCGCTCTGTTCGGGATTTAAATGAACACATAATTTATGATTTGAAATATCCAAACGAGTTGAATAATTCCCGGTGATACAATAACTGTATAACATACAACCCAAAACCGAGAAAAAATATAATCTTAAATATTATTAATAACGGAAATGATAGAAATGCCCAAACGTATATTATATGCAGCTAGCAAGCGGTATCTTCGGTCGGTAACCCATTAAGTACAAAAATAAGCTTAAACGACGTTCTAGTAACACCGTCAAAAATGATTTTTTTTCGTGAAAGGGTGTGATTTAAGTACAGAAATAAATAAAATATAAGACTACGGTTATCTTAAATCACGGTTTTTTACCGAGACGACCGTCCAATGAAAACGAGTACACCTCTCGAGTCTTGGGAGTCATCGGGGAAACAGTGGTAAGCCACAGCTAAGGATACAAAACGAAGGCAGCGCGTGACCAGTCTGGTATTCAGTATCTTCTTGCGCGTCGGCCAACTCACACGCGCGCCGCGTGTCAACCACCAGCGAGTGTACACCAATTGCACGTGCTTCGCCGAATCGTGTTCAATAATTTTATTTTTGTATAGTCGTAATTTTATGTGTCACTGGTTTATGAATTTTTTATTTAACTTTTTTTTTAAAATACATGAATAAGAAAACGCAGGACAAGAGGCGAAGTTGTCGATTGACGAAACATAATATATGCTCATAGTATTATCCACTTCAGACAATTTATTACATATTTAACCGTAAGTTTCAGGAACCGTACTACTATTTTTGTAATACTTTAATAAAATCAATAATTAATGCACTCTGAATCATGAACAGTTATACCGGGTTGTTCAATTATTTCAAAGTTGACCTAACTTAATAAAATGTAATTAACATTTTCATTAAATTAATTCGAACTAAAAAAAAACGATCGTGTTGAAGAACCTCTGTCATCATTAGATTGTTAAGAAATACATGTATCGTTTTATTCGTCAATAATTATTTCATTCGTTGTTTGAATTTTGTTTTGTTTTTGAAAATTACTTTTGTAAACGTTTTACCGGCAAAATTAGAGCGTGACTGAGCACAATCTTGCGTTGGGTGGCGATTAGCTGATGGTGACTCTTTCTTTTTAAAAATATTTTATTTTCACTGCTAAAAATTCAAATTTAATATCTATATGATTATAACGGACCATTTTGTTTTTTTATTCATTATATTGTTAGTTTTAAATGAAATAAATAAATTCTACTGACTTATACAAATTACCTCATTATTTGAGGGTTCAGAGGTATGTCGTAAATACAAAAATGTAGTTATAACATAATATCTACATAGCTTACAGAATCGATAAATTGCGTCCCTCGGGCTTAGTCATATAGTATGTAAATTGCAACCTGTGTAATTTTAAAACATACGTAAATTGAGTTCTGGCCTTCTGGTTACATTCGAAATGTACTTAAATCGCAGCCCGGGATATTCTGATTTCTGGTCGACTGTACACTTTAAAGATTAGGAATAATCTTCTAACTTCCAAACAGTCCTTCTACTGAAGTAAAAAGATGTAGATATAATCTTGGTCAAAGTTATAACAGGGAAATACAGTAACTTGGCTTATGTAATGCTTATAAAAAAAATTACAATAACGATATAAGTATTTTTATAGTATTATTTAAACTCCCTTTAAGTTTTGATATGGTGGAAGCTTGTTTAGTTTACGGTATAATAGCATTGCAACCACATTATTATAGGATAATACAATTTACTAACTGTGTAAATAAAATTTTGAAACTTATTTAACAATAACGATGCAGAATATGTAATTAAATTTAGTAACGAAGGGAGTTCTTTTGAAATAAAAACTTAACCTTGTATTTTAACTAAAAACATAAATAATTTATAGAATTTTGTACTAATTTAAGCTTTAAGTGCATAATAAAATAACAATTTATAAAATAAAATTATCTTTACATAAGATGTATTGTTATTTGTGATCAATTTAATTGAACACTATTCAATTATATAATATTAACTATATTTTTGTTGTGAAATCCAGTTTTTAGAAAACTTAAATTTTAACTAAGTATATTTTTTATTTATAATAATAATGTGATAAATGAAATATGCCTTAAAGTTTAAAATATACCTAATCATATTTTCTTTATGCCAGTATAGTTGATTGAATAACACAAATGTATTCTTTACATTTTATTTTGCTATTTTGTTTATTCTCTCAGTAAATCGGTAGTAATGATATGATATACTATATTCCTTTTGAATTCTTTAATTCGTTAAATTGTATATTTATGACTTTTTTCTATTAAAAAATATATATTCTTTGGTACCGGTCGTCAACCTCCTCCGTGTATTGTCACTGCGTTTAAGTCTCTCTCGGGGTTACATTATGTATGAACGGATTACCTACCTACAGTGTATTGTACTGTATATTTATTAAAATTGAATTGTGCGCCGAATTGATTTGCTAGTCCCTTAAGCGTTACAAAGTTAAATTACTTATGGTAACTAATATAATTCGGTAAAACGACCCAAATATTTATAGGTACGTTTTGACGAATGAAGGTCAAAGTATATTGTTACATAGCATATTTTATGGTACATATTATAAATATTACCGATACTTCGAAATATATAATAGCCAAGATGATTAGTCATTTACAATTATAAAAAATTCGTTGGATAACAAATTAATAGCTATAACTATTTACACGTATAAAATATAATTTAATAATACATTTTATAATTCGAGTCGTAACTTTATAATAATAAATTATAAGAATTATGTATTTAGTTATTGGGTACCTAATAATACTTGTGGATTCAGTTCAGTATGGTTAATATCGAGCACTTTTTTTTTTAACTTGACAACTACCAGCGTGTTTGTATATGTACGTGTGTGTTCGTATGTGCAAAAGGTATGAGTATAATGTTCTTGACAATACTCGCATTGGCCGGAGGTCGTCCTATAAATCAAGAGACATTCATGATGGCACCGAGAAGAAGCCGGTCCACTAAGAGATTTTAAGAATAGAAAATATAATACCGAACGTCTGGGGGAGGGGGTGGCAAGGGGAGAGAAATACGGTCTGGACATTGTTCTCGCTGTAGGTCGGGGGATAAATGAACTCACGAATCGATGTGTGCTCTGGAGACATTATGTTGTTATTTTTTTGTTCTCAGATTTTATATCCTTGTCCTTATTTTTGCCCGAACAACAATAGGAGAACCATACTGCACCAATATAGCCCTTAAAGAAATATTATTGTAAATTATTATTTTTGTGATATTTCACAATGTCATTTCCGGATACTTGGGTTAACAATACAATATAGTATCTAGAAAAAATCAAATTCAAGTTGGTTCAAAATATAATAATAATTTCAATAGATCTTAGTGAATATTGACATTTTCTTGGTAAGGACATCGGACTGTTCTTTGCAGATTATTGTGTGTACCTTCTATACGCGATTGGACCCTACCAATAATGCGTATGTATCCAAAATTAATATTATATTCAATACAATTTATTTTTGCGATTCTCTAAATCTAAAACCTGTTTGTTGTCCAACACTTACATTTCTGTGATTAATTCCTAAAATAATTAATATTTTTTATGTACACTGCGTATAATAATAATATAATATAATTTCACCGCATATAATTTTTGAAATAATTTTAGAATAAGAATTTACCAAGTGAAATGTATTTATTAAATTGTTCGAAGTGATTTTTAACAAATAACTGTATCCAAACAAAATTATGTTAAAAAATAAACCTAAATATTTAAAAATATTAAAGTAAAAAAATAATCGAATTCGTATATGGTAATTAATTTAATAATAATAGGCATGGAGTAATTTTCTACAACACTAATTTAAATTCAAATTTTGTATAACGACATTCATTTGGTAGATATTTGTAAGTTAATAGGTGTACTTACATGTTTCCGAGAACAAAATTATCATTAAAAATTTGCAATTTAGTAATGTCTTTTATTTTACTTCGGTATAATATTGTTTTTTATGTTTGTACCATTCTATATGAGTTTTGTTTTATTTTTTACAAACATTTATTGTTTATTGTTGAGTCGCCTATATTAATTTATTATAGGAAGGTACACAGTCTATACGCAGGACAAGAACTGCAAAAGGTTAATGCTTATTGAGATTTAATTATTCACAGTATGACGAAATTTGTTTTATTAAGATTTTAATACATCTGAGATTTTTATACGTGCACATCACTAAACAAAATATTATATAATTATTATTTAACTACGCCGCCTTGTAGTTGTCTAAAAAGACATCAAACAGAAAAATCATTAAAAATAAATAAACAATTCTACTGAGGTTTTAATGGTATATCGGAATGTGCTTATTTAATAATATAATTGAAATTTTAATTTAATTTTTAACAACTTTTTAGAAAACTATCATGATTTAATTGTTTTCATATACTTTTGGTATGAACTCGTGCATTAAAAATGTTTGATTAATTAAATATAAAAATTATAATCTAATTTTCTAAAACCTTTAAATATTTCATACATTTTTAAAATATATCTTATACAACCTATACACCTAATTCTCTTTAAAATACCTTAAAATTAAAAATTAAAATTGAAAAGAAAAAAGTTTATTTTCCTTAAAAATCTAAATAATTAATATGTATTTATTACCGGCGCCACAATAATGTTTAAATGTATAAATAGTAAATACATTAGTCATCATTCGTTGTTACTTACGCTACTTATTAGTTCATTCGAAAATAATTGATTTCATAATGTACACCAGGTTTGAACTTCAAAGGATAACAAAACACAGCAATTAAATTAACTTTTCTGTACTATATTATTTTTACTATTAATAATTAAATATTTTGACATTAATGTCTACAATGACCTGGGTTCAAATCTATACGTTCTGTTACGCCGAAAGTGTCCGAAACTTATGTATGTATAAATTACTGGATTGCTTTTATTTATTAAATTAACATATTAATGCAAAGTTTTTTTATTTATTATTCTCTCGCAGTATTCGAGAATAGCCCTTGAAATGCTTAGCAGTAGAATCAAACTGTTCAGCGTATAACATAGGTACTGCATGTATTTAATATATTAATTTTTTTTTTAATTCTCATAGGAACTGTACCTATAGGTTACTCTCACATGTAGATACATCTCTTTTTTTTTGTTCGATGAAAAACGGCCCAAGACACGAAAAGTAATTACTTGTTGCGTTTAATGGCGACAATAAACATTTTTTTTTCTCTTACGAAAAAATGAAATCGGGATTCAATGAAAAGAGTTATGTAGAGTACTCCCTTATGTTATACAATACGTGTTATACATGCAAAACAAAAAACATATAATACAAATCTCCCGTCGGTTTCTTCAAAACGGCTTTTCGGGTCCAGAGAATTTATTCTTCTTCTATTTCTTTTAATATTTCAAAGGTAGGTACTGTGTATTCGTGTGTGTGTGTGTGTGTGTGTGTGTGTGTGTGTGTGTGTGTGTATTATCAGTCATTGACACCGGGCACACACATTTCAGATATGTACATAATAGTATATAATGACGTCCATACGTACCTATACCTACCTATATAGTCTTTGACGATTATACTAAGTAGTAAGTCGTCCCCTTGCCGGCGGTTTCTCCACTCACGATCTCCATCTTCGCCTTTTTAATTATGCTCCGAGTAGTGCACGAATTCTAAAGTTAAAAATCCGCGCACCGTCC